TGTTTCCATTAGTCTCCGTTCTCTTACTTTACAGGTCTCAACTCTTGTGTTTCACGTTCTTGGCAATGATCGCTATGGAGGATTGGAGAAAGTGAGGATCCACATAGTGGCTGTTATGCCTAATGGCAACAGTGGGGATGGGAACTCTAATACTTCAAACATTGTATGATTGCTCTTGAGCTACCTGCACATGATACCTTAGGTAATTTGCCCTGAAAAAACCTAATCACTAAAAGCTCCTTTAGTGTAAGCTTTCCATGCAGAAGTGCATACAATTCTGGGCTTTTCTGCACTTACACTAGGGCAAAATGGTGTCAAAGTGTGGCCATACAAGACTGAACTTCCTCCATTTCCTGCTGGATCAGGAAAATGTGTTCCCTAAGTGACCCTGTCGACATAACGCAGCTTGACAAAAGTCAATTTTTGAACTATTGTTGCAACAGCCGGGTGGAAAATCTTCGGCTGAACAGTGACTTCAGTCAACTGCAGTTCGGGTATTCTGACAGCCACGGGGTCTGGCCACTCTCTTTAGCATGGATGGGGGAATTGACTGATCTCTCTTTTTTCAGCCCATTCAGCCCAACCGGAAAACTCTTAGGGTGTGCGGCCAGCTTAGTCCAATCACTGTATAGTTGTATGAAGAGTTGATAGAAAAATCTTTCAACTCCCTGTTTTGCAATTAAACATGACTGATTACATGTTGGTGTGTGATCACTGAATATCCCACTTTCTATTAAACAGGTTGCTAGGTTAGGAAACAAATAAACCTGAATAAGATAAGGACAGCTACTTTACCAGCATCGTCATTATAAAGCAATATGCTCTCTCTCTCTCTCTCTCTCTCTCTCTCTATATATATATATATTTATCCCATTCATTTTTTACAATATAATGGCCTACCGATCTACATTTTCTTTTTGACTTACTATATATCACTTTTCGGTGTTGGGTACTTAAATCAGGTTGCATCACATATTATGGTGGCAAAGTCATACTGGCTTGGGCCATTTTACCCGTTTGTTAAGAGTGAATTGGCTGGCTTTGTTTGCATTGTCTGCTTATAATTGGATTAATGGTTTGTGTTTCCATTGTTTTGTTAGCCGAAGGTTGGCTTGCTACAGCTGTATTTGTTCATTATCTCTGCACTTGCTTGTTATGTTTGTATTGATTGATTGTCATTATGTTTTGTCTGGTTGTGTCTCCACTACTTGGCTGCATCTTTCTTATCTTTTAAAGGTACCAGAACAGTGTATATTGTTTGTAGTACAGTGGAATGGTACATGCTGCATTGCTCAAGGGATTTCTTTGTAATATATTTACACAGTTTATGAACAGAGAGAATTATGAGTTCCTATAATTTATTGTTTTTTTTTTACGTCTATCATTACCACGGATGAATATGACTGACGAAGGCTTTTAGAGGCCATTGTAGGGTTATGTTACTTTAGCATCTTGAATGTTGTGAATGTTAAGCCCACCGTACACAAGTAAATCATGCCAACAGTCCAGTTTAGCCACCTGCATGTGAGCTACATGTGCAAAATTCAACAATATAAATCCTCATTATTTCATTGTATTAATTCCATCATCATAAAAAGAACTGTTTCTAATTTCAGAATGACTTGCACCTTGTAAATATTTCCATACATTGCACTATACAACCTCCATGGTATTTACCTTTTGCACTGTAAGTATGTACGCTCTTCAGAAAAGGAAAAATGATTTAATAAAACAACACACGGTATTATGTATAATCATAATAATGAGATGGGTAACCACTTGTAATGCTGACGTGATTTCATATTATGATTTACATGCATTGTTTTTGCATATTACATTAATAATGCCACATGCATGTAATCTTTTAACATACGGCCGTGTACACCCATTTGGTGTAAAATGCAATGTGATACCTTTTCCTTGTACTTTGCTAGGTACTGTATTGACATGTACAGCAGAAACATGGTGATTAATAGAACAAATGTCAGGTATTACCAACTTTTTTGCTGGTTTCTGGCTGTGTACAATCTTACAACAATACAGTGTGTTGTTTTTTGAATTGTACCTTGGTTATATATGGCAATTGCATTTTCCGTCTGGTGTGTTTGGTATCTGATCATTACCAATCACATATAGACTGGCACCAGAAGTCATTGCTGACTTATGGAAATCTGACATTACATTTTAAATAAAGTCAGTTATGTTGAGCGGAGGATGGGTTGTCACTGTGCTAATTGTTATGTGTATGGACACCTTTAGATTGAATGCATTGATTAGATAGGATAGGGTGTTAGTTTTGCATGTAAAGCACTGTGTTTTCTTTGATTTTTCCTACATTGCTGATCATGTTTATTGAAAAGGGTCAGGTGGGCTTTAAAGCATTCAAATACTGTTAATGGACACATCATCCACATTTCTTCCCATCTGTCCTCACATATCCCTGACCCATCACTACTTTGAACTTGAATCAAAATCTGGGCAGTCAGTGAAAAAGTAATTAAAAGAAGAACTTCAGATATAGAAACACAATGAGCAGAATCTATCAAAACTGGATCAGAGAAAATCTGGAGCAGTTTCCCATGACAACCAATCGTCTTCTACCTTTCATTTTTAAAGCTCGACTGCAAAGCTTAACTGAATAGACTAAAAATTTACTATGGGGAACTTCTGCAGATTCTGTCTGCTCCAGTTTGGATAAATTCCCCCAAATTGTAATCCAGTTATCAGGGCCATAACCATGTGTGATGGAGCCCTGTACCAAAACCATGAAGGGGCCCCTTGATTGTTAAATCCATTACAAGAACAATACTTGCAGTGATACAGAATACCAATTGTTTCCCTGGCAGTTGCACAGAGCCTTGATGCTCAAACTGCCGCCTGGCATACAGCCTTTTAATGCTTGCCAGCTCTTCAGACCCCAGCAGTCAGTGGCGGTACTGGGATCATTGATGTGTGAAGGGGTTGTAACACCGGTAATGTCTTGCGGTGTCATGTAACATGTTCTTGGTCTTGACTTGCTCCTACAGCTTTTCTCCAGTCTCTAACTTGATCCATAGCATGTCTGCAGTCTCTGACCATATCTAGTATTATCAGTCTTTGGTAGCAATTTGTATACTAACTATTATGCGTGACAACAGGGGCTGCAGTTGACAACTACTGGTATGGAAATTCCCAAATTCCATACAGGTATATTGTATACAAATGTGTTTGCAAATTCTAGCGGCATAAATTACTTTGTTGGTATACCGCTCTGTGACACTGTACTTCTGGGCCCCATAGCAGTGGCACAGTCTGCTATGACTACAGTTACACACTTCTGAGTTATTCGTTAAAAAAAAGTAATTAAATGTAAGTGTACATACAGAATCTCTATTAACATCAGGCTCCTGGAATCCCCTTTAGAGCACAACTCTAGACTTGAGAGGGAGGTTCAACATTCTGATCCAGTCAGTGCTGTGTTGCTTTGAATAGTGCTGTGTGCCATACAGTGAACTAGTTTTCAAATGCTAGATGAAAGAGATCCACATCAGTGTGCTTCTCTGCTTTTAGCGTGTGTAATGCTTAGTTGCAGTACAATCTGCACAGTTGTCTAGGACTTGGCTTTACTGTCTGGCAGGAGTGTAAGTCTGAACAGAATTGCACATGTATTGGCAGTTAAAAAAGATTCAATATACATATTTTGAGAATTTAGCTGTTTGCCTGTAGTTCAGTTTTAATATTATGTGCGTGACAGGCTAATATTACTGCAGTTACTTGTGAAAATATATGCATTGCACTCAGAACAGAAAACCAGTGTTTACCGATTACCTATGCTTCACAGTATGTAAAATAAAAAACATTAGTGCAATCTTATTTAAAAAAGGGGGTCGTAATGTTATGATTAACTATTTGTTAATACAGCAGAGATGGCTAGGGTGAATTATAAAATGACTTAGCTGGCGTGTGTAAAGAAACATGTTTGCTAATTATAAGCAAATAGGTTAGACATAATTGAGCTAGGTAGGAAATTAAATGTAAGTATCCAAACGGTATCAGCAGTGAGAAAAAGTAGGCTTATAAACAGTCCATTCCGTTATTCCGTTGTTTCGGTTATAAAATGAGATGTTCTCTGGGGCATGGCTGCATTAGTTGGTTATCCCTACATTGGAGGCTCATTACTATGCTGGCTTGTGATGGCTGCATAAATTGGCTAGTTGAGCCTGGCTTGGGTTCTGATTATGAAGAGGAGTATAAACAATTACAGTGATTATCGATAATGAGGACAGCTCCATATTGAGCTCTTACGGAGGTATTTATTGATGTTGGTGGGTACATGCACGCATGTCTTAAAATGGGGCAGCTTGATATGGTGATTACAATAAAAAAATCCTGTGCTCTCCTTTTTTTTTTTATTCCTTTCTTTAACAGTTTCACCCCCATTCCTGCATCAGTGCTTCACCCCATCCTCCCCCACCCTATATTAAACCCCCTCCTCTGCTACGCTGTAGAATGAAACTCTTTTAGTTAATAATTTCCATACTCATTAACATGCTAATGTGCTCAGGCTCACAGCTCTTTAATCACCTCAACATCAGACTCTGTGGGGAGCAGAATTATAAGGACTCCAGGGAGGGAGGAGGAGAGAGACCAGCAGAGTAGCATTTAACCCCTATCTTGCCATATTCTGCTGAGTAAAATATTTCTAGCAGGACACCCAATTGGATAGTGTCTTTTGATTCATACAAAATTCACAGGCAAGCATTTTTGCTGTTGATTGCATACACCGTTACATGCCAATTACATTTGATTTGTATCCTTTAAATAACATGGAGCAGGGATGTGTGAATTGTATATGTTTAACTCTCATTTCATTTAAAAGACATATAGAACCAAACAATATCATTTAGATGTAAGGCATAAGTTCTTTTTATTAGATAAAGAAAACAAAAAAACAAAAGCAAGAATGATTCACTTTACAAATCAGAGACCTGGTAATTAACACAATGTTAACCACATGGTTCTGTCTTTTTATGATCTCTCACTATTTTCTTCTTTTATACACAGGGCTGTGTCTGAGATGAGTCTTGCATATCCATTGTGGAGCTATGGATGCTGGTGAATGCTTCCTCGCCTCTTCTGGGCAGGATGAAAGAAGTCCTTGGCCTCTGGACCTCAATTTACCCCTCTGCCCAACAACCACCAAAGATACCCCTCTCCTGCCTCCCAATCCTTCACCAGAATTCTCTTACTCTTCCACTTCTGTTGCTGGAGGAGGTTATGGGGCTGTTAGCCCAACATCCTCCATGTTGCAGATGCCCCTCGTGACTCCCAGTTCTCCACACCCAACTTATCTGCCAAAGCTCTCATCTCCTTTACAGCCAAACTGCAAAGAGGACACTGAGGATGGAGGAGAGGCACTGGTGGGACATGTGCTGTTTTCCAGTGACGGAACTGTCTACCTCCTGAAAGGCGAGGAAGGAGAAGATGATGCTCTTTCTTCCCCTTCTTTACCACAGGACTCCCCAAAAAGCACAGTGACAACCCATCCTCCGCTCACCTCTTTTCGTCTTACCACCACCTACCAAGGCTTTTGCTCTAACCAAATATCCCGACATACCTCAGCCGAGGCAGCCAATCTCACTCAAACGGCGCCTGGCACCTCGCCCAGAATACAAGACCAACCCAAAGAAAAGGAGGCAGGGGAGCAACAAGAGGAAGCAGAAATCAAATATGAAACACATGGAGAGTCTACCAAACTACAAAGGGTAGATGGTACATGGATTTGTCTCCCATGCCGTCTTAACTTTCATACTGGAAGCCAATTGGGATGGCATGCTTCTTGCTTCCATGGCTTGGAGCACCCATATCAAGATCAGCTAGCATCAGGGGAAACCTCTGGCATTATACATAGATCTGGTGGGCAGATTTTTATCAGCCTTTTAGAACCAAAAATAAGTCAAAATGTGTTAGAAACTGGCCAGGAGCCAGAGAATGTTGTCCTTTCTAGGGTCCAAACCACCCCGTCTTTAGACATAATCCAAAGCATGTCTGAGCAATCAGATACATCAGAGGATATAATGTCAAACACAAACCCCAGTGATACCAAAAGTCAAGGGACTTTTCAAGGGAATCCAGAAGGAAACCACAAGCTTTCTATGGGCCTGGTGCCCAACTCACCTCTAAGCTATCACAAATGTGATCCCACAGGAACTCCCTATTTAACCGAAGCCAAAGATTCAAAGGCCCTTGTAGAGGAAAAGACTGGAGTAGCAAACTGGTGCTCAGCGGTAACAGAGGCAACGGGTGAAAATGTCGAAGAGGAAGTTGAAGACGTGGCAGAAAGCAACCTACCTGTCTCCCAGTCCTCGGACATCAATGAGCAGCTACTCACAAACCAAAGCTTTTATGGTCCAATGACAACAAATTCCTTTATTCAAATGGGAGCTCTTCATGGCACTGACAAAGTCGGTAACCAAACAGATGCTGATCGTGGGCCCCTGGCCCTTGATGAATGCACACCAACCTCAGGCCCCCAACCATTCCAAAGTCTCTCTCTGCAAGGCCAGCTTTCTCTACTACACTCACGGAATTCATGTAAAACTCTAAAATGTCCCAAATGCAACTGGCATTATAAATACCAACAAACATTGGATGTTCATATGAAGGAAAAGCATCCAGAAAGTCATAGCCACTGTTCTTTTTGCCACAGTGGCCAGCAGCACCCACGACTGGCCCGAGGCGAGAGTTACAACTGTGGCTATAAGCCATATCGCTGCGAAGCTTGCAACTATTCCACAACCACCAAGGGAAACCTTACTATACACATGCAGTCTGACAAACATTTGGCCAACCTCCAAGGATACCAAGGTTCAGGACCGACGCCCAACACAGCAGTAGCTCCTTTAGCAGCACAAACAGTGAATGCTGGACAGGGAGATCCTAACCAGACATCACCCACTGATCGTCAGCTAAAACAAAAAGCATCATGGCACTGTAAAGTTTGCAACTATGAAACTAACATCTCCCGCAATTTACGTATTCACATGACCAGTGAAAAGCACATGCAAAATGTCCTGCTTCTTCATCAGGGTCTAGGCATGAGCCAAGACAACTTCCCATTTTATGGAGGTCCACTTGTATCTGAGCAGACATTGGATCATCCTCTGCTTTTTAATCCCATGCACTTCAGCTCATCTGGTAGTCAAGGTGAGGGGTTCAACAATGGTAAAGTTATTAAAGAACATTCTTGAGTACAAAAAAAACTATTTTTTAAAAAACAGTTTATAAAACTGTATTTTAAGAATGATTATTGCTGCTTGTTTGATCCAGGAAATTTGATATTCAATGATATTCCAGCCAAAGCTAATATCTATGTGTGTAAGGAGAGTGACCAGGGCCTGATATAAGCCATATTTGTCTTCTAAGTGCTCTGTTAGTGCTGCTGTGCCTGTCAATGTTTAAGTCGATTCCCCCATGAACAGCTGACACAACTCTGACATAGCCTTGACACAGCTGCATGATAAATAAGGGTAGGAGATCACAAAGAAAAAAAAGTCACATAATTGGATCTTTACAGACAGGTCTATATTTATATAAAATGTATACACGAATGTGGGTGCTTATCCACCACCCAATTAAAAATGTTTACTGAAATCTTTTCAATTCCTGGAAAAATTCTATCCAGGTTTTACTTCTTTCTTGGATAAAGATACCTCACAATTTCAAAGAAAGTGGATTATAACAAATGGCATGGATTTGGGAATTAATTTTAATTAAAATGGATAAATATTTGCTCATTTTGAAAACCCAATAATTTAAAAAAAAAAATGTTGGCACATGGTTGGGTATTCCAAGTGAACAGAGGTTGATCTTATTTAGTAACATTCACTTTGCAATGTGAACATTCACTCTGTCAACATACATTTTCCTTTAGTAGCTCTAAACTAACTATCTATCTATCTATCTATCTATCTATCTATCTATCTATCTATCTATTGTATCTATCTGTAAAATCTTCACTTTCACCACAAAATCTAAAGTACAAATACTGTCATCAAGTAATGTTTATGAATAGGTTTTTGCTAAATACCTAATTTGTTTTTCCATTTATCTTGGCAGCTTGCAGTCTCCTTCCACCAGATTCTCCATCAGGACCCCAGGTCAATGCTTTAAGTACCTCTGGTATGGCCCTCCCTGCACCGCCTCCCCTGCCAGAGTCATCACCTTCATTCCCTGAGGAAGAGTTATCCTCTGGGGTGTTCCGCTGCTTGGTGTGTCGCTGCTATACCACAGACAGCTTGGAGGCTCTACTCTCTCATGCCAGTAGAGGCCGGTCTCTACCTGAGAGAGAGTGGAGGGAAGTGAGAGGAGACTTACACTGCTGTCGCCTCTGCTCCTATAGTACCCAGCTTAAAGCCAATTTTCAGCTGCATCTGAAGACTGATAAACATGCCCAGAAATATCAGCTGGCTGCCCATATGCGAGAAGGTGGTGCAGCGCTGGCCACTGCACAAGCATCAGCAGCAGAACTTCCTATTAGTGGGTACAGCCAGGCATCATCATTCCCTCCTTTGCACCTACGATGTAACCTGTGTGGATATGAGAGTAACAGCAGAGAGAAGATACAGCTCCATGTTCAGGGAGGGGGACATGAAGAGAGTCTCCGTGTATACAAGGTGAATTAATGATATGGATAACTTTGATGCTCAAAGCCCAACTCCTGCCATGCCAAACCTATTGCCTTCTGTGTCACCATTGGGGAGATATCCCTTCACTTCTGCCCCTTTCCTACAGGGATACAGCTAGAGTTAAAAATACATTTTTAGTAGACTGGGGAAGGGCTATAATGTCTGATAATGTTTGTATTGCTGTCTATGTCTTCCTGTTCTAGTGATGACTACACTCTTCATTCCTTGTACGGGTGTCACAGGGACAAATCCTCCCAGTGGGGTGATAATGAGAAAGAAATCCTTGAAATACATTTTAACTCTTTCCCGCTCCAGCCAAAACTAAGAAAATGGCTGGAATTCGACTTTATTAATTACATATGTTAAATGGAGTGTGCTTTGTGTTTGTTTTAATGTCTGCTACATTTAAAAATTACTTTTTTCAAGAATAATCCAGTTACCTATATATGTATATGTGTCTAGTTTCTGCAGGCTATTGAAGGCAGTGGTGGAAGTGATGTGGATTTCCGCTGTGCCCCATGTGACAGCACTGTTGGGTCACGCTTAGGCATGATGTCCCATCTACGTACAGCAACTCATCACCAAAATATTGCCCAATGGAGGCTTGCACATGGAGAAGCTATACTCGAAAGAATTATAACTGTGTGCAGGAGCCAGCAAGAACATGGTAAGATTCAGATATGTGTGTCTGACACAAAATCAGTCTTCAGTGTTATCTGTCCACTAAAGATGGTGCCTCTTAGACCAATACTTTCCCAACAATTTTTGTGTAAGCCATATTGTACATGGGTGTGTAACAGAAATACAGTTGTTTGGCATTTATGAATCATTTATGCTTGGCCACTATACTTATGTAGGATGGACAAATGCTATATACACTATATGGGCAAAAAGTTGTGGACACCTGTCCATCACACCTATATGAGCTTGTTGAACACTCTATTCCAAAACCATGGGCATTAATGCTGAGTTTCCTAACTACCTTTGCGGGTACAACATCCTCCTCTTTGCTGTGCTCTGTGACAGCCAGGAATACCCATCAGGGAATCAAGCCCTGACCCACTATGCAATTTGTAAACATTAGTTTTAGGTAGAGCTGCTTGTTAATTAGCACTTAGTATTTCACTAACAATCGCAAAAATAGTAAACTGCAAGGCACTCACGAGTTGATGACTTGGCTAACATTTGGTCTAACCTTTATTTCCTTTATTTTGGCTTTGTTTTCTTTCAGCATACTTTATGTCTATAATTATTTCTGGAATGTTGTTTAATTTAAGCCTTTTATCCCAGTGTTCACCTTCTTGTCCAGCACACAGCTCCACTTGTGTAAATGCTGGGGTTCCTTTAAGATTTCAGTATATTTGACTTATATTGCCCCCTGTTTTTAGTGTCCATTGTTTAAAAGAACAGCTGAACACCACACAGTAGTGACAGGGCAAGTTGTAGCATCTGTTGATTTCAGTATTTGGTGGCATGTGCAAGCATATAAGTAAAGTGGATTGGCATGTAAGGGGTTACTGGAACAGATAGAGAAGCCAGGAACATCTGTTGTTAGGATGCCACGGCAATACAGACCAGCCAGGTATGTCTGAAAATCCAGACCATGAGTATTCCAGTATAGCAGAGCTAAAGCCTTGTGTAATGTATTTTCACTTTTCCACATATACTTTCAAAAAGTCTAATAACAAGTTATAAGGTAAATAATCAAGAAAAAAAAGACTCACTATTTTTACATCCATTTTCCAGTTCTTTTTGTATTATCTTGTGTCTTACACACACTCTGTATTCCTCTCCCCCCATTCTGACCCTCCTTTTCTCCTGGCTCTCGGCCCATCTCCGGATCAATATTTTATGATTTTGGCGGCCGTTGAATGGTGTTAAAGAACTTTAACACTTTAATTAGCTGAAACAGGAATAAATTCCCCACAACTGTCAATTTTCAGTATAATCGTTTATCTAGTGACACTGTGGCTGTCCTCTCATTTCTCTCTGCCTGCCTCTCTTTCTCCTGCTGCCTGATTTCACTGCTTCCTTAATACATCCAGATCTCGTCTCTATTATTTCAAGTCTCTAACATTTTATTAACAATGAAATCAGGCTTGACTAATGTGATCATTAGTTGCATGACTGCAAAGTGGAAATGTATAATTTAACATATGTTTTGTTTGGATTTATATATATTATTGTTATATATATAATATTAATCATCTCTGAATTGGTGCTGACACTGTCCTTCCTTCTGGAGGGATTTTGTTCCCCATGGTCGTTGTGTGTTGTAAAGTAGTCACCGCTCCAAGCTCACTCCTGTGATGGACTACAATTGTATTTCCATACAAATTAGTAAACTAAATGTGAGATTGAAGTCCATCACGGGAGTGAGCTTGGAGCGGTGACTACTTTACAACACACACAGGGTACGAGGGTGAACAAAAGCAGCCACCCTCCAGAAGGAAGGACAATATCAGTATGAATTCAGAGGTGATTTGAGGATCTGCAGCGGACTGATACACAAATAAGATACATTTTTGTTAATAGCTAAAGGAGAACTATGAGGTGAGTGATTTCCACTCATCCTCATAGTTAGAGCCGACCTGTGACAAAGAAGCTGTCACAGGTCAGCTCTATCGATTGGGAAGTGAGCAGAAACATACTGCTGATCCGTTTACTTCCCGATCGTCTCCCTGCAGAGAGTGGTGACTGTGAGTCACCACTCCCCGCAGGGATTCCCCTCTCTGATACTGAGATGAGGAAGCTAGTATATGTCCTCCCGTGACCCTAAAGAGAACTATGGAGAAAAACACTTACCCCATATTTCTCTTTAAAGGTACTTGAATGACTTTTTTTTATCATTTAACACCTGAGTTTATTGTCACTTTATTTTTCTGTCTTGACTAAGTCATATACTGAAGGTCATTTACTAAAGAGAAAAAAAACCACGGTCTGCACTGTTGTTTATATGTTTTAGATGTTGTAGTGAAGCTCCACTACTCCGTAGACTTGTAATAGCGCTGATCACAAGCAACATTTCTTGCATCCATTGAGCTTCTGTAGCCACCACCACCTCCTCTTTTATGTGTTTGGGCGATTGCAAAGACTCTTCAAACCTTTACATTAAAGATGCACCAAAATGAAATTTTGAAACCGAAACCGAAAATAAGAAAACATTTCTTTATATTAAAGATAAACCAAAATGAAATTTTAAAAACGAAACCGAAAATTAAAAAAAATGTCAGGCCCAAAACAAAACCAAAATTATTATTTTTTCTAAGCTTTTTAACTTTTTTTAAAATATTTTATTTAATTTTATTCTAAACTTTCGGTGCATCCATACTTTATATTTATGAGATGCCTATGAAGGAACTGGTCTCCCAACCAACAAAAAGGTAGAAATGTTAATTCATAAACATGTCATATTATGATACTGAGTACAAGGTAATGGAAAAGGAAGGAAGCGTTCCCTTTTCTTCTGGTTGCAGGATTACAAATTGTCATGCACATTGGACTGCAAATTATGCACTCAAGGGTGGCTGTCTTCAAACTGGTTATAAAATGGGCAGAAATTAGTTTACCATCATGCAGGTTTGGATATCCATCACTTGGCTTCCAGAATCAACTCTTTTGGAAGGACAATTTCCATATTTTACTGATCCTAATAACGCTAAGGCTATTGTGACTGTATAAGATGAATAGATTTTTACTTATCATAGGAAGCATTGTGTGTCTAAAAGGGAAAGGCTGGCCCTTTGCCACAAAGAGGGAGAGGCCTATTTTGTCTAAGAGCCCTATTACACTAGTCATCCAGTTGCTGGCGAGTTGTCACTAAAATCTGCAGAGAAAATAATCACCTGCTCCATATTATGCTCCCTCGCTGGCCAGATGAGAGTCATTGATCTCTAGCTGATGGAAACATTTCATGTAAGTCTCCAGTGAGAGAAAGGTCATGCTAATAAAACCAGTTAGGAAGCAACACATGGAAACAGGTGACAGGTGAACGTCAATGAGCTGGGAGGGATGCTGGACAGAGCGTCACATATTGCTAAGAGCACTTAGCAATTACCTCAAGCTGCCTCATTATCGGGACAACCTGGGCCCTGAGAGTAAATCCAGTACTGCTTGCATGTGAAATTAGAATATGCAGTGTATAGTCAAAACTCCGCAAATGGTTTGCTGGGGCTTACAAGTAGTAGCCTCCATCATGGTAGAAGTGCATAAGGTTTATTGTTCTCCTATTTCAATGTGTTGTTTTTTTTTGCTGACTGTCTCCAGTTTGAGCAGGGAGATAATTTCTTTACAAGATAAGTTTCACACTTGCCAATATGCATACACTACTTTATATTTCAATTACAAAATAACATTTACACTTGTAATTTCAGTTAAAGTCTCAAACACTCCAGAGATCACATCAGCTCCAGATGCAGGAGAAGACAACACAGACATACCTCAAGGTGAGATAGGGTGTTTACCTAACTAAAGTCTTGAAATGAAACTATACCTTTAAATGTTTTTAAGTGCATCAAAGTATAGATACAGTTATGTGGTCTATTGTGGTAACAGACAGATATGGTGGTCTATTGTGGTAATAATTCCTAGCTTTCTCCGCCCAGACCAATGAATTACAAGGCTATAATATATATACTGTATATACAATGTATATTGTATAATAATAAATACTGTATGTATGTATGTATATGTATATATATATATATATATATTTCAGTGTGTGTATATATATATAGATATATACATCTATATCTATATATAAAGATCTATCTATCTATCTATCTATCTATCTATCTATCTATCTATCTATCTATCTTTACATATATATATAGAAATATATCTATCTGTATATAGATAGATAGATAGATAGATAGATAGATAGATAGATAGATAGATAGATAGATAGATAAATAGATAGATAGATACTGTATATATGAGACAACTTTTTGAACTGCACCACATACAACTTGCACCACATTTATTGTCTATATTTTTCTATGGCCCATTCTCATAGTCCTGTGCATTCCTGAAGGTACTCTCCTCCATTTGGAATTTTGTTTGTGTTATCTATACAAGGCTATCAAAGTAATACCTTTCATTGCACTTGAATAAGGTCTTTCATATAGGGATAGACATCCAGATTTTGATCTAAATATTTGCGAGTGTGATAAATATTTCATTATAAGGTCATTGCAGAAAGTTTGTAGTGGAAGTGATACCTTTCATCAAGGAAGGGATCTAAGGGGTCCAGAAAGCTTTTGCATATTTAAAGGAGAACTATGGGCTTAAGGCTTTTCCCCATGGTTCTCCTTAGGGTAACGGGAGGACACAAACTAGCGTCCTCCCCTCACCCTAGGCTCAGTATACCGCGAGCTGTAGCTCGCGGTATACTGAGACGCCACAGTATATCGCGAGCTGCTGCTCGCGGTATACTAAGACGCCGCAGCTGAAGCGGATCCCGACAATTGCGCCGGGATCCGCCCAGCTGCGTGACTGACAGCTGGCTCTGCCTATCCAGAGGCAGAGCCAGCTGTACCCGCCCCCTCCCCCGTCCGTTCCGCCAGTCAGCACTGGCGGATCGGAGCGGGGAGGGGGGAATCCAGCCCCTCCCCTGTCACGACAGAGAGCCGTGACAGGATCGAGAGGTGAGCAAACACCGGCATGTGTTCGCTCACCTCATAGTTCTCCTTTAATAACTTGAGTTAGCAAAAACAAAAGGTATCATATAAACTACAAACTTTCTGCATTGATCGATGGCTAACACAGTACAAGATTCCACTGCTGCTATTATAAGTAAACATTTCAAAGGCAATTCTGAGCATTTGTGTATTAACACAGATGGCTCTGTGACAATCTCAAGCTTTTCCTAGGACCAGCAGCTAAAGTCTTATATTTAATCTGCAGGTAAATTTGATAACATTGTATGCTCATTCAAATACTGTATAATGTAACGCCAAGATCACCAGATCTAAGATGCTGTCTCTAAAGCTGACCATACATTTTACAATCTGACTGCACAATCTACTTTAGAATTACCAGTAACTATGTAGTGCAAGGGCCTGCCTAAATTTAATATGGATCAAAGGGATTGTTATGGTTTGTCCTCATATTACATAGTTCTGGTAAATCCAAAGAAGGTTTGTCTTCATATTACATAGTTCTGGTAGATCTAAAGAAGATTATACAGTGATCGTACAATCAAATTGCATAGTATATGGCCTGCTTACCAGACACCACATTTGTAACAGGGTGTCTACTGGTGCTATGTTTTTGTCACTATATTAAGGATCCAGATTGTCATTGACAGTTTCATTTTTGAGCTTGGCAACTGAGCTATTGTATGCCTCCTATGGAGCCCCTACCCCTGCAGTAGTTACTTTATCAGGCCTATTTAATAAAGCAGTGAGAAGGGCAATAATTACGTGCACAATGAAAAAAGACAGCAAAAATAAAGAAAACCAAAACCTCTTTCACTTTTTTTACAACAGTTACAAATTAGTTGCTAGCTGTTTCTGCACTATGGACATCTTCACTGCCTTTTGAGCCACTTTATTAAATATGCCTTTATGTGTAGTTCTCTGCTTGTTTCTTGCTCTCCTCTATGCTCCTTTTTTTTGCTTTACTTCCTCCTCGCTCTGTGATACAAATATGTGAACTAAAACTAAATCATAGGGTATAAATGATGCATTATAGGGGTAGGCAACCTTGGCACTCCAGCTGAAATTACAAATCCCATCTTGCTGCTGCCTCTTGGAGTCATGCCTGTGGCTGTTAGTCTTGCAAAGCATCATGGGGCTTGTAGTTTCACAACAGCTGAAGTGCCAAAGTTGCCTACCCCTGATGTATTAGATTTTCCCACTCCAACTAGCCAAATACACCTTTTGTATGACTGGAGAGCCCTTATCCTCTTCTTTGTGTAGAATGAGCAGTTCCCTTGTTTGTTAGTTGTTTGTCCCTTCCTGACCCCTAATCTCCTGATTCAGCCCCTGTACAGGATGAAGCATCGAAGACTGAATGTGAAAAGGCTGCCGAAGGCACTACGGTACGTACTGTCTATGAACAGGTATTGACAATGGATCAATGGATCATAGCTTTGGGATACACCTGTGTCAGGCAGGTAACCAGGTTCACTACACCAGCTTTGCTTTTACTTACAAACTCGAATTATTCTATTTTGCCATTCTAATCAATATGTGAGCATGGCTGGGCAGTCTGATATATGGGACTGACTCTCTGGCAGTCATGATAATCCCCCTTCTTCCTTAGCTAGTGCGTCAGTGATCAGCAACTAATAAGCATCCAGTGAAGTTGGAACTCTAAAAATATTTGTTCTGGGTCAGTCACACAGTAGGTGGAAAAACTAAGGGGTCTATTCACAAAGCTGCCGAAGGATCCAGCCGTAGCTTCGGCTGATCCTTTGGCTAGCTTCGGTTGCGGGAGCCCTTTGGTTCAGCAGAACCGAAGGGCTGCTGTGCGGGCTATTCACTATAGCCCACACAGCACCCGAAGGCGACCGAGCGGCTCAGCCAAGCTGAAGGCTTTTGCTTCGGCTCAACTGAGCTGAAGTGTCAGCACAAACGGGGCGAACGGCCTGCCGAAGACGGGCCTTTCGCTCCGCAAATGACAGCTGGGCGGAGTCAGCCGTAATGTCACGGCTGGCTCTGCCCAGTTGTAATGACAGATCAGCGCCCCCAAATGACCTGGGGATGCTGAACTGTCATTAAACAATAACAACTGGGTGGAGCCGGCAGTGACCGATGTACGGCTGAAATCATCCATACTGAGCCGTAGTGAATAGCCGAACGTTGTTCGGCTCACTTTGCTACGGCTCAGTTATTCGCTCGGCTGCCTGCGGCAGCTTTGTGAATAACCCCATAAGACTGAGAATGACAGCCAGATAACTAACAAAATTGTGTTAGCAGTGCCACCAGTCTTGTTTTTGACCTGAGAAATTCACATTAAACTTGTTATTAAAATCAGCCAGGCACACTTATGGTCTCATATGCATCAATGCTCTGACTTATATCTAGTGAATTAAGCTTTAGTTTATTACACAAATCCACATTTACTATGTGTATGTAGTCAGCAGGTAAGTCTTATGTTGTGCAGTATGTGAAGTGGCTCTGTCTATAAACGGGTACGGGTGGCAGGACTAAAGTTGGTGACACACGTTATAATATTGTTGTGCCCTCTATGTATAATTTCCTTTAGATTTACCAACAACAATGTAGTACATGGGGCCTCCATAAATAATCAAGTCAGAGTGGAACTGAAGCCAAAATTGTTTTAGTTTAGGATAGGGGATAAGGGAGAGTTATAAACACTGTCAGTTGTTTTTTTGCCATTCGTGTCCCTTCACTTCCTGTCCAATAGCCACAGCAGGAAGTGAGATGAAATCACTCCAAAGAGAGGGAAATACCTGGTGGTCAGCAGGGTCATCAGAACTATTGTCTACACTGGAAGATTTCCCATCTAATCCTGAACTTTGGCTTTTCTTTTACTTTCACTGATAACAATCACCAGGACAAATAGAGTGTGAATCTTCCTAACACAGACAGCAATAAAAACCTGACAGATGTTCGTATCCCCTCTCCACTTTATCCAAAACAGAAACAGAAAAAGGCTTGAGTTACACTTTAATTTACAATTACAGTATTATTATTTAGCCCTTTATTCTAGAGAAATCTGAATATGATCAACAATCAGATTGTAACATACAGCTTATCAGTGCACCCCTTTTTGGAACCATGAACTTCAATTCAGACCAAAAGAGGAATGTATATGGAAGCTCCAAGGGTATGTTTATATTTTAGAAAAAGGTCTACCTGCAGTACTTAAAAGAAAAAATGCAGTTCTGGCCCACCTCCCCTTCAGGGCTGTCCCCTGCAGTACAATGTGACCTGCCTTAAAGCAGAACTCCAGGGGAAATTATTATTAACCCTTGCAGGTTACTCCCCCACTGCAAGAGTTAGGTGCTCAATTTGGTCTAGGTAGGAAAAAAACATACATAAGATACACCCACCCAATTCTTGTAGCCAGCCAGCTGTGACAGCGCTACCTCCAGCCTGTCTCGTCCTCCGCTGCAGAAATGTTATGTCCCTTGGCGTCCTCACGTCCTATACATCGTATTGGATGTGATAATTTACAGGACCTTAGACCGCTGTAGTGCATGGGGAGAGAGGCTCCAGGGACCGGCCTATGAACAAGCTGGCTCTGAGGATCAGGTTTATATGGCTTTGTTATTTTCCTCCCTAGACCAAAGTGAGCACTTCATAATAATATTTTTTCCCAGAGTTTTAGTTTAAGACATCTGGAAAATGCAAGAATAAAGAAATATAAAGCCTCTGGTAGGGCTACTGTTAGGTGGCTACTGTTAGGGCAAGGGGCCCCGGCCTTTAAAGTGGAACTCCAAGCAAATGGCTAAATAAACAGATGATATAGTGATATATATATATATATACACACACACACACACACACACTGTTTCTCTTAAAAGGATTGTAATTTAGTCCAGACATTCCTGTGATTACATACACTTCTGGTAGTCAGTAAGTACACTACATTGCTACTTCCTGGCTTAGCTTCATGACTTCCTGGGTCACCTTTATTGCTTCCCAGTGGTGAGAATGCTGATTTAATGTCCAATGAAGGGCGTAAAGGTGATATAGGAAGCCACAGAGCTCAAAAAGGAAAATGAATTGCTTGACTAGGAACTCTGTGTTCATCTCTCTGGCTTTGCAGTGTGGAAACTGTGTTAAAAGAAGAACTATGAGGTGAGTGCTTTTCACTCACCTCATAGTTCTAGCCGACCTGTGACAATGAGACTGTCACAGGTCGGCTCAGTAGATCGGGAGGTGAGCGAGCACATACCGGCGTTCGCTCACCTCTCGAGGGATTCCCCCCCTCCCCGCTCCGATCCGCCAGTGCTGACTGGCGGAACGGACGGGGGAGGGGGCGGGTACAGCTGGCTCTCCCTCTAGATAGGCAGAGCCAACTGTCAATCACACAGCTGGGCGGATCCCGGCACAATTGTCGGGATCCGCTTCAGCTGCGGCGTCTCAGTATACCGCGAGCAGCAGCTCGCGGTATAGTGCAGCGTCTCAGTATACCGCGAGCTATAGCTCGCGGTATACTGAGCCTAGGATGACGGGAGGACGCTAGTTTGTGTCCTACCGTTACCCTAAGGAGAACTATGGGTAAAAGCCCTAACCCCATAGTTCTCCTTTAATCTTCCATAATCTTTATTATTTTTCCAAATTATACAACTTACAACAGTTATACAAAAAACAAACAATAAATAAGAATGAAAAAAAAAACCAAAACCTTGCAACTATACATATGCTATCAGAAAAAGAATTCAATCAACATATCTAATGTACTCAAATTATACAATAATTCTTACAATTTAAACAAACATGATTCACAAGTGAGTTACCATTTATCCCTTCTTCAGATAGTAACCATTCTTTCCAAAGCTCCGTGAATTTCCATGCTTTTCCTCTATGCCAAAATAATAATTTTTCCCTCTACAACATTGTATTAACCATTTTAATCCAGTGACAGGTGGACTAGGTGAGATCCAGTTTTCTAGCCATAAACAACAACCTAGTGATGGACAATTTCTGAGATCTAGTGCCTAAATCCTCCGGCAGAATTCCCAGAACACAAATACACGGGTCCATCTCCAGGTTAATTGAATATATTTTATTTATTACTATAGATATTGGGAGAATATAATTAAATAGCTTAGGACAGTCCAATAATAAGTCTATCTGTGTTTAAATAACAGGATTGTCTGTGTACAATTACACATCCCTTGGCAGGTAAAACAGTAAACATGAATGTATATCATCAATGTATTTAGCTGTTTTTCTGGCGTTTCACTTTAAACGTTCCATGCAATTATGCAATTGATGCTCCATGCAATAACGGTAACATTATGTGAAGTCTTTGGGAAATCCATGCAGACTTTAGAGGTCCTATGATATGCAGAGGAGACATAAATCACACCCCCAGTAATCAGCTATGGTAATAGTACTATCTAGAATGGCTGTAATAGCAATGGACTAGGGAGATGCTGCGGAAACAGGAGAAGATATTGGAGATACATCATTTTTCAGAACACCTGAAATAAGTGTTCTGTGTTGTTTCATTTTCTCAGTGATCCATTGATCTACAAGCTCTATTTGCTTACTTGTTTGTAGTGCAGAAGAGCTGTTCCCAAACGCACCCAATGCAGGCTGCTAAAGAAAGGCTGTCATTGTCTCAGCACTGACATAGATTCAAACCTGGCTTGGATATTTGAATATGACTAGTAATACGTAAAGTAGAGAGAAGGGAAGGTACACAGCACATACTCCTGGAATCAGACATATTCATCTCATGTTTGAGTAGATATGTGAAACCTGGAAGCGGAGTTAAGCTGGCCATACACTAGTAGATTTTCGAAAGAAAGATCATTCTTTATCACCAGATAATGCCATCAGACACTTGACGAATGTCAAACAAAATTTAGTTTTATTTTAACATTCGATTTTGGAATGAATGGAGTTTCCCGATAGATTTCCATCCTGCACCCTCGACTTTTTTCATCACTACAGTCGAGATCAATCATTGAGTTGACCAAACTAACTAATAGAAAGTCGAAAGAAAGATCTCTCATACAAAAGTTTTTTTAGAAATCAAGTGCATGGCCAGCTTTAGCATATAAATGACGGGATTTTCTGGCATTAGCATAGTTGCACTGGAAAAAAATTAGACCAATAAATAGGAGCAAGAACCTGCTGCTTCGGGAACAGCACAGACAGTTTATATTTTAGACACTAGTCACGAGCGACGGTATGTGTTCGCTCACTTCCTGATCTATTGAGCCGATGTGTGACAGTTTCATTGTCACACGTCGGCTCGAACTATGAGGGTGAGTGATTTTCACTCACCTCATAGTTCTCCTTTAAAGAGCAAGTTAAGGGGTACTTTTAAAAAGTGCTGACAAGCAGGCTTATTATAACAGAAGAGACTGTGTAAATCTGTCTCAAATAAACA